CCAATTCAAAAACTTACACAATCTTCAAGAAAAAAAAAGCATTAATTAAACAAGAAAAAAAAAAAGATCGCCTAGCAAAATCCGCCTTCTCCAATGGCCGACCGCCGCAAATCCACGATCCTCTTCCTCTTCCTTATCCTCCTCATCCTCCCTCTACTGGCCTCGGCCCTCGGCCGAAAAGTCGGGGGCCGAAGACCGGTCGAAAACGTGGAGGCCAACAAGGAGGTACAAAACCTGGGCAGGTACTGCGTCCGACAGTACAACCATCAGCAGCAGGCGAAAGGCAACGGCAGCGCGTCCAGGCTGCTCGTGTTTTCCCGGGTGGTGGAGGCCGAGACCCAGGTGGTCTCCGGGATCAAATACTACCTCAAGATCTCGGCTGCTCCGGCACACGGCCGCACGTTGACGCAGACTTTCGAGGCGGTCGTGGTGGTGAGGCCGTGGCTGGGTTCCAAGCAGTTGCTCGGATTTAAGCCTTTGTCGCATACTAAAAGCACCAAGTAGCGGGAGAGAATGAATGGATGGTCGCTTTAATTTGTGGATTTTTGTTGTTGTGCGTGGTGTTTTGGTTTTTATGATTTTGTGTGTGAGTAATGTGAGTGAGTTCTTCATCTAACAGCTTCTGTGTGTAATAATAATAAAATTGTATCCAATTTTGGTGAATAAAGAGCTTTTTTTGCTTTTTTGCAGTTGATGAGTTTGATTTGAGTTAGAGATGGAGGAGAGAGTGTTTGATAATGTATCATGTGCGTTGATGATAAACATCATGTATACAAGATTATGTAATTGTTATTTTGTAACAAAAAAATAAACAAAAAATAAGCACAAAAGTAATGCTCAGCTATCCACGGTGGACACATGTTAATATGCCCATCGTTTATGTGGCATGCACACATTGGTGATGTTAATATGTTCAAAAAAATATACCACTAATGTGTGCATGCCACATAAACGGTTGACATATTAACATGTACCCACCGTGGGTAGGTGAACATTATTCTATGTAATAATATTTTTATATATAATTTTAGAGTGAATTAGTACGTACTCAGTGCGATGTACGCGAGACAAAGATTATTAAATGAATTATTTTCACATGCTCTCCGTTTAAGTCTAATAAAAATAGGGTTATCATTTATTTCCACTTCTTTTAATCTTTTAATCAGTGTTAATTAAGTCACAACAGGGTTATAAAATATTTTTCACCTCTTTTAATCAGCGTTTTTTTAGTCAGAACATTAAATATAAGAATGTTATGGCTAACTTATAAAATAATTAATATATTATCTTACTCACATATTTATACTAATATAAATTTGATTGTAATATATATATTTATTCTTTGATATAAGAGAAAATAACAGTTTTAATTATCTTGTTCACCATATAATATTTAATTATTATTTTATTATAAACTTCGTTATCATATAATGCTATTTTATTTATAAAAGTTATAAAAGTTGTACGTCTTTTTTCTCTTTTATGTAATAAAAAAGATTCAAGGCACATTATTAATATTTATTTATGTAATCAATTAAAAATGTGTAAATAAATATGAAATTAAAAAGTGTATAAATATTTTACAAAATATACATGCATGCTTTTTTTAGAATTTAATTGTATACTAACTAAACAACTTTAATTAAGGAAATGTCAAAAACTCAATCCCTTCTATAATTAAAATTATTCTAATTTGCATTATAAGAATTTATAGTTTATTTAGCATATTCTGCAATGAAAATATATTTTTATAATAATTTAATCATAAAAAGAAATCAAAATAAAAAAATGGTCTAGGCAAGATCTTAATCGTAGAGAAAACGGATAACAAAAATTATCATGGCTGCCATTCTAAAGAAACAATTAATAAATTTAAATTTTAAATTTGACTGTTCCTAAAACTATTTAATATATTTGATCATTATCTTTTAAATGATAAATTATATTAATTTGAAGAATAATTTATTTTCTATAAACATATACGAAAAAAAAATTGCCTCAATTATTGCTTGTGTATGCTAAGATCCCAACTTGGGAGATGGGCTATTATTTCTTTTATGAAAAAAGCCCATGCCAGATTTAAAATAAAGTATTCATCTTGCACATTTTTCAACTTACGTACGTAAAAATGAAATGGTCCATACTATTTTTCATGTATGAACGATGTGGGACAACTCACAAGTGATATTCTAACAATAAATATTGTTTTAAAAAGGGGACCGGACCGGCCGGTTCAATTAGAAAACGGATAACACAGCGGTCCGATCTAGGGTATAAAACCGTGTATGAACGATGTGGGACAACTCACAAGTGATATTTTAACAATAAACATTGTTTTAAAAAGGGGACCGGACCGGCCGGTTCAATTAGAAAACGGATATCACAACGGTCCGATCTAGGGTATAAAACCGTTAGGCCCAAAAACCGGCCAAGAACAGTTTGGACTGTCCAAAACCGTAGAACCAGCAACGATTGACTAGCCCAACGGTTTATAAACTGTGTTATTCTGATTTCTTTATAAATAAACTTCATTGTGTTGTTGTTTTCCCAATGTGGGAGAATGACCTTTTCTCCGTTTTTCTATGCCGTTTTGTTCATCTTTTTGCTTGTGTTATGGGCCAAAAGCCTAATGCAAACTTTTCACGTTTGGGACCTTTGAGCAGTTTTTTTATTTCCTTTTTTTTATATACATATACGTTTTGAATTTTATGTAGTTTATATTTGGAATGTGATTTCTAAGAAAGCTATGACTTAAGAAATCAGAAGAAAAATGGTAAAACGAATAAAGTCGAGACACGTAAGATATGCCATCTTTAAGACGAAATAGTCCCGTATATTACCCACGGTTCACGGCTAACGCCTAACTCAAATACACAAACCTTCGGCGAACAATACTTATGTTTTGGAACTCTCAAGATAAAAAAGAACACAAAGAACGCAAGATGATTATGGACTTTGTAAAGGATGCAAAGAGATCTTGAAAATTTGATGTGTTGAATGATTTCATGTTTGTGGGTATTTATAGATGTAAGGAAACACCTCCAAGAGGTTTAAGTGTCAAAAGACACCTTTTCGGACGTGCCCGAAAGAGAACGGATGCATCTAGTGGTCAAAAGATACCTTATGGTCACCAAGGGTTGCGATCATTTGCTTTCCGCAGCCAGTTGCGAGCCGCGGGCTTGTACGAGCTCATACGGACTCAGAATTGAGCTCCGTTTTTTCGTACTTGTCCCCAACAAACCCTTCTACAATTCTAGCATACCAATGCATAATTATGACTCGTTTAGTTTGTCCAAACATTTGTTAAAACAGAATATTTGTGAATCCTACAACCTTTGAGTTATTTAAACTCAATTAATTAACATACAACACCTAGAATTAATTTTTAATTCACCTTAAAAAGGTTTTGAGAATTTCATAAGTCTGAACTATACTTTATAAACTAAATTTGATTTTTAACAGTCGACACGGAACCTGGCGACGAAAAAACATAAAACCCCAGATTCTCTGCGCCTCGTCAATCTCATTCTGGCTTGCCTTTCCCGGTGACGGCGAGCTAGGGCCAGTGTTCCCCTTCGACCGCTCGGCCCACCTCCTGTTGTTTCGCCTCCGCTCTAGCCATTGTTGTGGCTGTTGGTAGATCCAATTTATGGACCTTGGTTGTTGTCGGGTCTCGTGGTGGCGGCCTTCTAACTGTCGGTGGTTGTTGGATCGCCGATTGTAGTCTTATCCGCCGTTGGGTCTTCGATTTCCGAAGGTAAGCTCCTCGATCTTTTTGGGTCGATGTCATTGACGTGCCTGCCTTCTGGTGGGGCTGCAGGTGAGGTTTGTTTGCCGCGGTCTTGGTGTCTCGGGTTAGACGTGTTTGCCTTATGGTGGGGCTTTTAGGGAGGACCTTCGAGATTGGATTTTCGGTGGCTTTGTGGTGGTGCAGGGCGGCGGATGGGTCTTCGGGGGTGGGATGGGACTCTTGCATTTTTTACTCTTTGTGTTGGGGAAGTCAGAGTTGGGGGTGAGTCACTCCTTCCCTTCTGGTTTTGGTGTTGGGAACTGGGGGGTTTCGCTCAGTCGAGC